CGCATTATAACGCACACGCGCGCACACACACACACACACACACCGTTATCTATACCACAGAATAGAAGCACAGCAAGGGGGAAGAGCTCTCTATGACATTATGAAGTACGTGAGTTTTTAAACACAGGGCTGACCATTAGTGGTAAATGTTGTACCTGCTGAACCTGTACTGAGCACCTTCCTTGACACGGATGATGTGGTATGCCACAGAAAATCTTGACAAGTAAGTACATGTGAAGGGATGTGAAAAGACAGTTCAAAATGTTGTATCTCTTAACTGTAATGCAGCCATTAAGATCAGTAAAAGGCAACATTTAAGCTATTTTTTGATACGTACTTCAGTAACCAAAATCCTGGCAAACACTTAGACTTATATAACAACAGACAGATATTACACAGACATCCTCATATGAGCTGGATCTCAAGTTAAGGGGTGGTAAAAATCATAGCCCAGCAAGACAAACAGCTTTAAAACAGTTTTCTGGTTTGTTTCTTTATTCCTCTACGATTATAAACTGAGTATTCTGGTGGGAGCCTCAAATCTTTTATCTCCTATTTTGTCAGAACTAACAAAGAGCCTGTCAGTTTTGGGAGTGTATTTAAACCAAACACATCTTATGTCTGAACTCCACAGCCAAATACTGTCCATCAACAGTCTCAAGTCCTGTCAAAATGTCTTTTAGAAAGATAATGGCGCCCTTCTCTATGCTGAGGCGCTCTGGATAAGCACCTCAACAGAAAGTTCAAAATGTCGACATAAATGTCTAGCTTACTGTACCCAGTTCCTGAGCCTGCCCCCGCTGTCACCTCCCAGGCCAAAAACATGTGATGAATGGCCCAGGGCTCTCATCAATCATCTGTGATTGGCTCTGATCTGCGCTGTGATTGGCTAATTAGCCTCATCTGTAACCATTACTGCACAGAGAGGCAGCTGCGGCAGAAAAAAAAGGGATAAGAAAAATAAAGAGAGGTGAAAAATGACACCATCGGGGCTGTCCTGTCACCTTGCTGCCTCCATACAATGCCAGGAATCAGACAGCTACCGCCACACAGGGGCACACACACACACACACACACACACACACACACACACACACACACACACACACACACAAAAAAAAAAAAAAAAAAAACACACACACACACACACACACACACACACCTAAAGACTGCAAGGAAACAACTTCCAAAGACCAGAATTTCACAGGTAATTATATTTTGAAAATAAATACGCGAACAAGACAAGAGCGAGGAGGAGGGGTTGTCGGGACTGTGTGTCAGCGGGTCAGCCACATCTCATCTGGCAACAGTTTCTGCTCCGCTACAGCAGCGAGAACAGCAACGCCAGCTCCAGTCAGGGGAAAAATAAGAGCTGGTTATTAGATGTCAGAGGGAAATATCTGGTAACTGGGTGGTAACTGCTCGCCAAACGAGAGCCGGACAGGAGGGAGTAACTGGTCTTGTGACGCAGCTCTTCAGGAGTACAAAACACCAAAAAGTAAAAGGTTAAGATGCGGGAGGGACATGAAGAATAAAAAACACAAGGCGAGGACAGGAAACAGACAAAAAGACAGAAAGAAAGTGAGGCAGGATGGAGCCCGAGGGGAGAGAGAGGGCCAAAACCACCAGGCCCAACTTCTGCTCCTTCTCCTGCTCCCAGCCAGCCCTCTTCTCTGAACAGGAAATGGCTCTCTGCAGCCAGAAGGGGAGGGGGGAGGGGGGGCTCCAAACAGCTGTACCCACCATGGGCCAAGTTAGGGTGGGGGCACAGGCTGAGAGGAGAGGAAGGAGTAAGGAGGAGGGCAGTCCCTGGTAAAGATGGCAGGCTCCTACATCTTTATCTGCTCAGATAGAGTCTTTAGTGAGTGATTGCTGTGGGTTTCCTTCTCTCCTCAGCATGTTCAGATTCAGAAATTTGTTCTGCATCGCCAAATCCCAGGAAACCGCACTCAAAAAAAAAAAAAAAAAAAAAAGGTTAGGGTTAGGGGTAGCCAAATGTTTCAAACACTGTTATAGAACTAAAAAAGTCCAAAGCTTAACCTCTTTGAGGGAAAAGAGATCAGGAGGATTTAAATTATTTTATCTGTTGATTTTCTACTAAAGCGTTCAGCTCCCGGCATCTATTCCATAATACCTTAACAATAATAATAAAGGGCTCCATTGAGAGTAGCTGGGCAGCTCCACGTCTGTCTGCCTGCCTGGGACAGACACCCGATACCTGGCTGAGACGATGCCCAGCCAGCCGCACGCCTTCAGACGTCGTTAGAGCAGACACACAGCACGCCCCTCCTGCCACCCGCAATCCATCCACAGCCAATTACAAGCAATTTCCCTGTCCTGGGTGGGGTGAGGAGAGTGAGCGAGAGAGGGAGGAAAAGCAGTTGTCAGCCCAAAGCAGACACACATGGTTCTGTTTACAAATTGCCAGTTGTTTGGCTTCGCCATGGTAACATAGTGCTGACACTGGCTGGATGGATATTTCAAAGTGAGACTGAGAGAGGGGGTCGTGGTGACAGTCGCGGCCTTTGAAGGCCTGCAGGGCGGGGTGAACTTTCAGCAGGAGAGATGGTTAATTCATGCATAATGTACAAACGTCCCACAAACACACGTCTGTTTCCCTCCTGCCTTCATCTTCTCCCCCTTCCTCCACATCAGTTCCCCTCAGCACCTCGGGCTTCTGTTTGGCTTCCCGAAATCCGCCTTTCCGAAACTGGAGACGCACACAGCGAGGAGGTGCCTGATTCACCAGAACTGGAATGTCGGCCATTCCCACAGGAAACCTGGAGCGTCTCAAGCCAGGGTGCCCAGGACAGGCGGGTGCACAACCACACACACACAAATCCAGCAACACAGGGTTGCACGTACAACACATAAGTACACAACTGGTCAGTCAGACTAACATAACAGGATGAAGAAACCTGCTGAGTGTGACCCAACAACCGGAGTTTTACTTGTACAAGGATGAGAACCAGTTTTGTTTTTTCACATAGTTGCTAAGTGGGCAGAGCCACAGGTTCTGGAAGTTGTTTTTCCTCACTGAAAATCTACATTTTAAATTTAGCTTTTAAATGACAAACCTCAGTATTTCTCAAAACAGCAACATTAAAGTCACCGGAATAATAATGGTTATGGCCACTGGGTATAAATATTTTAACTTTTAGTTAAGTGTGCTAAATTACTATAAATGCTACAGTTCCCATGAGCCCATGAGTGTCTGTTGCGATGAAGAAGACACCAAGCAGAGGTCGAACTCAAAGCTACAGCAAAAAGGAAAGACTGATACTAATGGTTAAATGGTTGGTTGTCAGTATCATCATGCACCTAAATATAAGTACTTCTACTTGGTCTGAAAAAAGTGGTAACAGTGCATCCCTAAATCTTTTATCTATGCCTTTTGTTCTACACAGTTCCTAATCTTTACAGTTTATAATACATTTGAACTCATAGTTCATCAAGGAAAGTTTCCGGCCAATCAAACAAAAGATGTTTCCTCCTTTTATTCACACCAAAGTGGTTGCTGGACTGTTGTCCTTACAGTCAAACACTGACTGTACAGACGTAAGCTGTATCTAACTAGCTACACACTGACCTGTGTGTGTCTCTTTGTGACAGCTCAGACTCAGACTGATCTCTCAACTTAAAACTCCACTTCCCTTTTATCTACCTCCAGTTTTTCACCTTTATCCTCTTATTTCTGTACGTTCAATGAGTACAGTTATACAGCTACAGGATAAGCTTGATCTGTTAGCTCAAGTTGTGCAACTTTGCTGCCTCTAAAATTCGCTTTGCCTTTAGTTCACTCCACCCAGAAGTGATGCACCTTCCTGTCACCTCACATCTGTGAAAAATTACCTGGAAGTTTATTTTATTTTGTCATATGCCGATCCATTTGCGTAACAGCGAATACCATCTGTTTTCAAGAACAACAAACTTTTTATCAATCCCAATGCAAGTCAGACTTCCCACCATTCAGGCAAAAATGATTGTGTGATTACAAACGGATGAGTGATAAAACGTCTTCCCGTATTAAGCAATGACTGATGCTTCACTGACGCCATCGACGCCTTTGCGCCCCGCCTTAACAGCGTGAGCCGCTGCTTCACTACCACCCTTCTCTGACGCAGTGACCCCATGCTGTGATCTGCAGTTAAACCGAGGTTCCCTGCGGTAACCTCCTCACCCCCACTCCCATCTCAAAGAGCACCTCCGCCACCATCACCTCCTAATAATAACACGGTCCGCAGTGAGGGGTCTGCTGTCAGACATGGCAACCCGTCGAGTCTTTCATCTCGACAGCCACACACACACACACACACACACACACACACACACACACACACACGCACACACGCACACACACACACACACACACACACACACACACACACACACACACACACACACACACACACGTTCCAACCTCAACCTATCACACACTTTGACATACACATAGGAATGTGTGCTTCCTTCCACACAAGCGCACACACGGGTAAAAACACACATTCAGAAACGCTGAGCTCCGTCTGCTCCTGGACGTGGCGACCCCACTGTTCGTTTCATCTCCCCACTCCTTTCTCTGCTTGCTGCTGGCACCATTACGTTAACACAAACACCATATTTCTGTCATCGTCCCCAGGACGCAGCGTTCCCTTCATATCTCTCTTTCTTCTGCGGGCGTTCGGGGAATGGCAATGGGGGCCTGAAGGGATCTGGGACATGGGTGAATTGTGGGAAACCAGAGTGCAGTCTGTGGCCTCACAGCATGCGGCCCTCTCTCTCTCCTCCCGCTCCCCCTCTCTTTCTCTATCTCTGTTTCTCTTTTGGCAGAGAATCATAGGAGGCTTCATGCAGATCGCATATTGCGGCCTCAAATGATCTGGGAAAACATGCCTTGTTTAATGCTATGTGCACATCTGAACCCTGTTCAACTCCCAAGCAGTGCACGCACAGTTTGCGTGTATTTCTCTGAGCTTGTGTGTGATTATGGTTGTGTGTTTTACCTCCACATAGTCGTTGGCGTGGCCCCAGTCCCTCTTGGAGTCCAGGTTGCCCAGGCTGAAGCTCTCCAGTTGGCCAAGGTGAATCTTTGCCACAGAACGACTGATCTTACGCGTCACAAAGTTTGAACCTAAAACACATACATTAAAATGCTTTGTTGGAATCTTCTGAATTCAATTAGAGTTTACACAGGATATAAATATTACAGAGGTTTAGCTAGTTCCAACACATACAAACACAGATAGAAACAGAAAAACAAAGAGCAGATAAGTGAAATCGAGGCCTCCTTATTGAAAATGGTGTTTAGAGATCCCTACCAACCTTCTCCATAACACTATCACCACACACACATGGACTTCCAAACCTCTACTGCTGCTCCAAGTCCTCTTTAGCCAAAGCAAAAACTTAAGCAAAAAGCCACCGTGAGTCAATTCAATTCTTTACCACCTCACATTACAGCCACTAGATCCCTTTAGATTCCTTCTCTCTTATTTTCTTCTCTAATTCACTGTTTCAGTGTCAAATCTGGGATGGATGCCAAGATAAAGCATCAGTCTGTCAATGCCAAAAAGCAGGGAAGTTCCACCGAAAAATGACAAGCAAACAGGACCACCCGGGTTCTGCCGGTGCAGTGTCCGGTCCAGAATCACCACATCGACAGCCGAGTCATCTGCCAGATCGCCCAGCGGTGCTCCTCATTCCGAGCAGACACACGTGGCGATATTATCTGCGGGGAGACAAATGAGCTCCTAATGACTATTTCTGTGCCACTATGAAGGGTTAGAGAGGTTTTTGGGTGCTTTGGCGGGACACTGAGAGTCGGTGTCATGTTCTGTTCCTGCTGCGGGGGGAAAGATGCCGCAGAGAGCCTGCGAATAAATGCACCAGACCTCCAACCAAAACACAGCATTAAACTGATGGAAATCAACACTAAATATAAGGGTGTCATGTCTAATAATGCCACCAGCTCAGTTGAAACAGCTTATTAGAGCTTGAAGGGTTTAGCTCTGGCTAGGCTCTTCTGTCTTATGTTCAACAGCCAAAATGGCAGATATGTGGGGATATGTGAAAATATCATTTCAAAGGAAAGCTTCAAGCTCGCATCAAAGAGTTGGCTATTTTTAGCCCACACAACATCTCTACTCTACATAAATCTCCCACAACCTTGCGTGAACCTCTTCGAGACCTCTTAAGAGCTCCTACATGCCGTTTCTTAAACTCATCATGTCGGAGATGAATGTTGCCTTTTAGCTCAGCGCCCATCCTGACCGTAATGCAGCGGCTCTGTCTCGACACTGTATCACTGTTGCCCTGACATGGAGCAGAGCCTCCATTTAGACTCAGGAAAATCCCATGAACCCAATCATGCGAATGCACCAAATTTGTAGTAATTATTACATAGGAAAGCGACAGCCCTGGGCAGGCTGAGCAAAAGCAGACCAGAGCAGGTTAGACACGCTTATTTGAGAAAATACAGCATGTTGTGTGTTGGTAGCAAGTCTCATGGCCCCCGTGTCAACGCTGCTTTGTAGCCATGTTGAGCTGGAGACTAATTCCGTCTAAATGAGGCTCCATTTCTTTCTCACACTACAAGCATGACCTCTACTTCTAAATCTATGAAGTCTGATCTCAAACTCCATATATTGCTCAGAATTCTGTGAATCAATTGGAGTCACATGAGCATTAGGAAATAGCATGTGTCTACAGAGCATAGATAAATTGGCGATGGAAACCCCCTCCGATGTCAAACCTGTCCTGACTTTGCATGATCGTCTCATCTGGCCCCCGGGGCCATTCTCTAACCTGGCAGATCCTCTGTTATAGCAGGTACCACTGCTAACTGTAGTCAAATGTTAAGCAACAACTATTCATCTGCTGCTGTCATATCCATGATTGTCAGCTTTGTTCTCATCCGTATCAGCTAGACAGGCTCTTAGCACAGTGTGAATCATTTGCCATACAGCTACACACGCATGAACACACAGCATTCCCATGTCACATCTAACTTTCAAACAATTAAGCAATTAGTCAATGGACAGAAACTTTATTGATATTAATGACAATTTTAAAAAGGGGAACTCCACAGATTTTACACATCAGTTGACTAGTCATGGGGAATACTACTCAGCCAGAGACAGTTGTATAATGTTTTCTGTGGCTCCGGAGAAACTTTCTAATGTCGGAGAAAAACATCCCCCTTGTGATGTCACCAGGGTTAATAAACTTTTTAAATAGAGAGCCTGTGTTAGAAACTGGGGGCATGAAGTTTTAAAGGATGGTCTAATGAACAGATGATATCAAGCTGCATCATGGGAAGTAAAGAATAGTGTTTTTGGACCTTGATCCATGTTAGGGATTAAAAGTCAGGATATATATTAGCTTCAATATCACAGTCTCACAACTGTAGGGAAAAGCAATACTAAATTGTTGGAATGTTCTTTAAATAATCAGTTAACTCTTTAAGATATTTATCAAGCAAAAAGCTCAAAAAATTGTGGGTTACCGTCTCAAATGTCAGTATTTGCTGCTTTGCTTTGCAAAGCTGCTATTTGTTTGATTTGTTTGCACCCTTGAGCCTGCAATGTGCACATAATTCACTTTGCTCTAAAAAAAAACTCTCTATATCGTTTATATATTTATTATTGTTTATATAGTTTATATCATTTTAAATCAAATATTTTCAAAATTGTTAATTCATGATTGTTGATGAATTGTTGGTCTGACAAACATGAAATTTTGTAATGTCACCTTGGGTTCTACAAACTTCCCACAATTGGTTTTTACAGTTTTAAAGTAAAACATAATCAATAGATTACATGGCAATTAAATTTTCATTAGTTGCAGTTCTCGTTATTGTATGAGGACTATATTGGGGGGGGGCGAGGCAATGTAACAAGAGCCCAGATTGGTTACTACAGTAAATTGGAAGGCAGGGGTTTGATTTGATCCAACATCCAAGGGAAACTCAAGTTTGCAGGTTAAACACAGGTTGTCAAAACTCTGCAGAGCAGAGCTGGCTCTTAAAAAGGTGGCAGAGGGATACAGTGTAGCACAGTACACCCAATCAGTAATAAAGTCCATTATTTCCCCCCAAGCACACCTGTAGTCTCCTTGTAAAGCTCACACCTCTGTTTGGAGTGGCTCTGCTCCCTGCCTGCTCTAATTGGTGCGGTGTGGACCAGAGCGTGGGCCTAATGGACCAGCCTGCCTGGCTTTGGACAAAGCCTGCTCTGTTACTGGCCCGGGTGTTAATGTGTTTCCTTTACTGGCAGCGGCACCGCAGGACAGCCAGGAGGAGGGGGGGGGTGGAGGCAGGCGAAGGGAGCCAGGGGGGCTAACAGGAGGTTTCGAGCCCAAACGGGGCAGTGGTGGCCGTTTAACCTTGCCCGCGGCCCGGCGGAAAGTCTAATAAAACCACGGGCCGTGAAAACTGAGCAGACAGCAAAAACCATGCCAGAAACGGACACTCAATCTCTTTCTCTCTCTCCCTCTCATTCTCACTTAACCGTTTCTTTTCTTTTTTTCCATCATTCCTTTTCATTTTTTGGCCAGAGAAGCGACAGGAAAAACGTAACACACGGGCTTCATTGGCACAGCTGGGTAAAGTATGGGGAGAAAAAGGAGGAGGAGGAGGGTGAGGAGAAATGTGCAGAGATGTCTCCCATCCAGAGCCAGGCCATGTGGGCCCAGACAGGATGGGGACTGGAGCTGTCAGCTGGGGGCTCTGGTGTGGGGAGTAAGGGAGGGGACTGTGGGTTTGAGGGGATTTTGGCTCTGCTAGCCTTGGTTACTCAACAGATTCTGTTGTTAGAACCATGCTGCTAAAGAAAGGTGACTTATGAAGTCTGTCTTCAAACTGTGTGACGGCCCGGCCCTTACACACTCAGACCTCAAGATGTCTGACTAACACTCATTTATATTACCGTCTGTGAGTGTATTTTTGAGCATTAACTAATTGAGATTCAACCGCAGGGTGATTTATTCAAATCACTCTTCTGTAACATTTATTTTGAAGTCATAATGTGTGGTCATGGCTAAACCCAATGGCGCATTAGCTCTGGAAAAACTGAAAAGCAGAGTAAATCCAAATCTGAATCATGTCAAACACTTATCAACATGGTTTTTAATATTATATTTGCACAGGTAGAACATTCTCTTCCTTCCTAAGCCAAGTCTCCTTTTCCAACTTTAGACCTGGCGTATGTTTTTCATCACCACGTCAATCTGTTCCAAGGTGATTTGCAGGATGTTACAAAGTTCTCCCTTTTCTTAATAAAAATGTGGAATGACTTGGTAACCCAGACTGTTTTAATGAGCCACATTCCAAAAATAGGACTGTAGATCGCCTGCTTTTAAAAAAGTTGAACACAAAGAATCATTCCATGTATTTTCCAGATATTTGACAGTTGAGTCATTGAGCTTGTCTGAACTGGCCATGTTCTAAAGCTGGTAAAGGAAAAATAGCCAAGACTTCATTTTGATTGCCACAGTTGTAATAGAAACCCTTAGGTTACCTCAACACAGGGTTTACACACCTGTTTTGGAATTCAACCAGAACTGCAAATCCCATAATCCCACTCTGTCTTTGAGCAATGGCCTTGGGGAGTGAAAGGCTTTGTGGTAGATTTGAAATGAAAAATGCAACCCTTAATTTCTATCTCCACTCCCACGCGTTTCAGGCTTTAGGTCGACCCTGTAGCCCTGTTTACATCAGAATGAATGCATTTAAATCTCAAACCCATCCTTTTTATCTGCACTGAGTTATGAACAAAATACCTGACTTTCAGGAATACTGATTCTGCAGGAGAACTCTTCCCCGCGTCGGGGGTTGGCCAAATTCCACCCAGGCCAAAGACCTGTCAGTGTCTGCCATCACCATTATTGCACAATTCACATTCTGAGTGATCTCTGGAGCCTCGACGAAGGGAGAATATTTGCGTTAAATCCAAGTGAGGCTCCGCCAACACAGCGTCTATTCACACCTGACAGACTGCTGCCCTCGTTCTGGGCTGACTCAACTGACAGGGAGGGTGCAGAGAGAGAAATGCGATGCGAGGATTGGGACAAAGACCAATAAAGTCACTTTTTTAAGTTCGGTGTGATGTAACAACATGGATGGACAGCACAGGG